AAAAGTTACCCATTATTTTAACAGATACCATAATATAGCAACGTTTATAGCCTTAAATGATAGTTTCTTTGCTTTTTAGCTCTCCTATTTGCTCTTTAGAGGTCACCATTCTAATGGGATTTCATTATGTGAAATCTGGGGTCTGAATATGCTCCTTTTTAATAGATCTATCAAAATCATATAAACTTTCTGACCTATGCATTGCGATGAGCCACATAATTGTTCCTTCTGGTTTTTGCATAAATCTGCTGGTTTGAGTGTTTTGTGTCCTCAGATGTGTTGTTAAATCTCCACAGTACCAGCTCTTCCTATGCTTTTTTTTTCTTCTTTCTTTTCCTCTAACTTCTAAAGCCATGAATCCCCTGGCATCTTGTCTGCCTTTTCATTGCCGGTTTTCTGCAGCTTTGTTATTCTGCTTTAGAAGGAGAGCAAACAAAGAAAAAAGTTGGTACAATCTCACTTTCTGGTAGATGACAGAGACTTTTTTTTAACATAGAATCTCCTCCTCTGTATTTTTTATTTCCTGTTTTGATCTGAACTGAAGAACTCTAAAAACGTCCAACGTCAATGTTTCCAAAGCTCCATTGCAGGGTTTCATTTTGTATGTGCGCTTTAGTTTGTGTTTGATCTAGCGGAGGTCCTGAGTGTTGAGCTTTTGCAGGGATTTGTGAGCTATTGGGTGACAGCAAGTATAGGCACACTCCTGCCGTCACAAACAAAGCATAATGCGTGCTTTTTTCTGTTTGTTTTGTGTTGCACACATGCAATAGAACACTTCTGAGGAGGAATTTGGCAGCAATTAGGTGAAAACACCAAAGAGCTGAAAACTGCAGAGATTTATCTCATTAAATTCATTCGCACTATTGAAGAATATAAAAGAGCTTTTGTTGGTTTAAAAAAATCAGCAGTTTACCTTGGTTATTGCTGCTGTTTTTACCTTTTGCATACAACTGGAAGCACTTTGGTATTTTTTATCTGAAATTCTCTGCTCTTAGTTATGTTGTGTTGATTTGGCTGCATGTTTCAGATCTTAACCCTGTTGAAGGACCATAGGAGTGGCTGTGAGATATTTATATAAATATCCTAGGAAGAGTTTTAAGTGCCATACAGGTTCTAGTTTTGTTTATGACAAGAGAAATGGGCCCAAAGCATCACAGATCCTTCACCATACTTGGCAGCAGTTGTTTAATCTTACTGAAAAGCTCAAACTAAACCCTCTGAGACCAAATTGCATAGTTCCAGTTTAGGCTCCAGCTGTTTACTTTTGAGATGGTAGGACATGGTAGTTAATTCAAAGATGCCATTGAAAAGCTCTCTTATATTTAGCTCTGTCACTATAGAGCTACATAGATATTTTCCACTGTGCTTGGCTACAAGGTAACCTCAGATCCTCATCCAGCCCTTTTAGTCGCAGTTGTTTGAAATGTTAATAATTATGACAATTTGGGCAAGTTTAGGAAAATGGCTGTTTTTTTTCTAGAAGCTTCTTAAATTCTAAAGCTTGCTTATTTTTCCTGTTTTGTGCAGAGCCTCGAAAAAATTACCGTCTTTGTCTTGACATATTTATCTCTCAAACAAAACATAATTCAAAAGATGAGTAACTGCTTAGAAGTTACTAGAAAACCTGATCAGCTTAAAAAGAAAGTAAACAGGCACTGATTATAGAATTAGAATATCATGAAAAAGTTGATTTTATTTTCAATAATTTGAATGAAAAAGTGAAACTTGGCTGCTATGTTTCAATTGTTTATTCCTTTTCATTTTATAACTGACAACAAACTAAAACCCCAAATTCAATTTCTCAGAAAATTTGAATATTAAGACCAACACCAAGAGGGATTTCCAGAAATGCTGGTCAACTGAAAAGTATAAACCTGCACAGAGCTCAGTACTCAGTTAGGGCTCTTGTGGTCTGGTTGCTGCAGCAATGCGGTGCGGCATGGAGTCCATCAGTCTGGGGTCCTGCTCAGGTGTTATTAGAGTCCAGGTTGCTCTGATAATAACTCCCTCTTTACAATAGCCCATAGCTTTTCTATGGGGTTAAGGTCAGGCAAGTTTGCGGGCCAATTAAGAACAGAGATACCATAGTCCTTAAAGCTGGTGGTGGTAGCAGCTTTGGCATTGTGCGCCGGTGCTAAGTCCTGTTGGAAAATGAAATCTGTGTTTCCAAGACGTTGGTCAGCTAAGGGAGCTTGAAATGCTCTGAAATTTCCTGGTAGATGTCTGCGACATTTGACCTCAGAAAATGGAGAAACACCAGCAAATGACATGGCACCCCAAACATCACTAGATATGGAAACTTTACACTGAACCTCGAGCAACCTGGATTCTGTGCCTCTTCTGGGGCCTTACATTTCCAAATGCAATTTAATTTGATCGGAGAACATATCTATGGACCAATAAGCAGCAATCCTTTCTTTCTTTAGCCCAGATGAGACACTTCCAACGTCGTCCACCTCATTTTGGGTAATTTTT